ATGAAGAACCAGAAGTATGAGAAGAAGCAGGAAAGGGATCGCACAAAGCTTTTGAGTTCAAACAAAGGCATGATCTTAAAGTTGGCTAAACTGGCATTCGAACAGCTGAAGGAGGAAAACGTCATGTTCTACGAGACGGATCTGAAAGCGTGCGGCATCGATGAAAGCGAGGAGTCCACAGGACTGTGCACTGAAATCTTCAAGGAGGACTCTGTCCTGCATGAGAGGAAGGTTTATTACTTCATACATTTGAGCGTGCAGGAGTTTCTTGCCGCGTTGCATGTGTTTCTTTGCTACTTGAAGCTGGACATGGACGAGCTGAAATTCTTCTTGGAGAATTCGCGTCCTAATAAGAAAGAACTGCTGTACGTTCTGCTGAGGAAGGCGATCGATAAGGCGAAGGAGAGCGACCGAGGGCATTTTGATCTCTTTTTGCGGTTCTTGCTGGGCATTTCTCTCCAGTCCAATCAGAAACTCCTCATCGGCTTGCTGAACGAGACGCTGGAAAACAAAAACTGCATCAATAAAACCATCCAGTACATCAAGCAACTGCAAAACAATGACAAGTGCCCAGATAAATCTATCAACCACTTCTTCTGCATCCTGGAGCTGCAGGACAGAACCCTGTACAAACAAATCATGAAATATCTGAAGTCAGAGAGCGGCCAGCCGAAAGCGGTGTCCAACTCCAACTGCTCAGTGCTGGTTTATGTGCTTCTGATGTCAGGCGAGGTGCTGGATGACTTCGACCCCAAGATGTTCAACAACACATATGCGGGATGCAGGAGACTCGTCCCAGCCGTGAGATGCTGCAGAAAAGCCCTGTATGTAGAGTCAAATGAAAACTCTTTTCCCCCTAAAATTGTAAAACAAAATTGTTTTGTTTTACTCACCCCCGGGGCGAGTACCTAACCCCCCACAAAAAGTATTTTTAAAGCATATTCTGTTTTACTTTTTCCAAAATTTAATTTTTATTTTTTCAACGTTATTTTTGATAATATTTTCCCCAAAATGCTGTTTGTTTTCCTCCAAATTCTGTTTTCAAAATTTAGTTTTCCCCTTCAACTTCTTTCAACATATTTCGTTTTTCTTCCCCAATTAATGTTTTCTAATTTAATTTTTCATGATTCCATTTTAATTCAATTTGAATAATAGGAAAGCATGTTTAATCAATTGAATTAATACAACTTTATGAATGAAATTAAACGTTTTTTTTACAATTTTGATCCATTTTGTGTGACAGTGATGCTGCAGAAACGCAGTGTAAGCCATTTTGTACTCTTCTTTCTTTCCATGTTTTTTTAATTTACTACAATTTTGTCAGGCGTAGCATTCAAATACATTGTTCCTTTAAGATTTTCTAAGTTTAGGTTTTCTATGTAATTATTAAGTTATTGAACTAATGTACAGGTATGATACTGTAAACTCATTTAGGCTTTTTATACTTTCCAGCATTTTTTGTGCAGTGTATTAATTACATTGTTTCTTTTTTATTTAGCTTTATTGGGATCTATTTTTTTGAAACTGTGTAGAGGTGAGCTCTTCATGACTAGCTAACATCTTGCCATCTTGCCAGGTTTTCAGACTGTGGACTGACAGAGCAGTGCTGTGAAACGGTGGCTTCGGCTCTTCAGCTAGAGGACTGTCCTATGAGCGAACTGGACCTGAGTCACAATTACAGCATCGAGGCGGGAGTGAAGGCACTTTCTGCTGGACTGAAGAGCCCACACTGTCATCTGGAGACACTCAGGTCAGCGTCAGTGCCGCGGGGGGCCTCAGGGGGCCCGGGCACCTCTGTGCCCCCTCACCTCAGGTGCCATCTCCGGAGGGGGCGCCCTGATTTTAGTCTCTGGGAAGATCTCCCACTCAGAAGTACAGGAAGGGGAGTTGATGTGTGTGGGCTGTCAAATACAATGTTTTCATTTCGGTTCGTCCTTAGCAAAAATATTTTTCATTCAGGTTCCAGAGCGAAATAAGTATGGAACAGTGTTCGCTTTATAAAGAATTCTAATAATCTTTGCCAATATTCTCGAATCTTCAAACTGCTAACACTTTGCACTTTGCTGTTTCGAATTATTCCTTTACTATTTGACCAAAGATGACGAGTGTTTTGTGCTTCAGCTGTTTGATCTCGCCTCACGCACACACTATAAATTCATTGCAAACAGCGCAGCCTGTTCATTATCAAAATAATATACAGTCACCCAAACATGTAAAAAATTACACTAGTCAATTGAAATAGTCTGTAATATGTGCAGTTTTGCCACTGTGGCACGTTTTTGCTCATTATGATTTTTTTTTTCTTGTCGATATTGGAACACGCGTGAAGTACAAAGCCCAATTTACCTAATAAATAATAGTTCAGCTTCAAATACGTCGCGAATATGGAAGCATTTGGATTGGTGCCGAATGAGCGAGAGGTAGGCTATGAACCCAACTTTACCATCAGTTTCACTTTAAATGAATATGTTTTGGCTTGTTTATAGCCAGGCCTATATTATTATATTATACTGCAGTTATATTTATTCATTAGGAATGAATAAATTATATTTTTTTCATTCTTGGTCTGTTCTGAATAAGTTGTGTAAAAATAATTTAAAGGATTTGTTGTGGAGTGAGGGGAACTAAAATAGTCTATATGTTTATAGTGTTTGTAATGTATGTACATTAACATAGGCCTGCCGGTATTATTTCTAAATGTAATAAAATGTGAGTTATAGCCGATGTGACTTTTTGTTTTTATTTTTCCTTTCAAAAATGTAAAATTTATGTTTGGCGTGTTTTTATGAACATGCAGCAAACGAAAGTAGCCGATTAATCGGTTAAAAATTCTTACTGTTGGTTAAACAAAATACATTGATATTCTTATGCTTGGCATCCCAGAGAGCAACAGAGTCTGGCTTCATTCTGGCGTTGTTGTTTTTTAACAGTCTTGATTGCAAATGTTTTTTTTATTTGTTATTAATAATATATTCTGACAATTAAAACAAATCAGGCTCCTGTATTTATGGAATTAATTACTGTCTTTGTTCAGAAATGGAAGTAACTTAAAATGTTATTTGTGTGATGTACTTTAGTAGCTATATACAGAGAAACTACAGCACTTCCAGTAGGCTATTTTACGGAGCTGGAAACTCCAACAGCATGCAATCAGTTGACAAACAACCTATTCATATATAAAACTAGGCTATATGTTATTAAAAATTATTTTATTTACAAGTTTCGTGTTTGCGTTTTACTCAGAAACAGGTGCCGTTAAACAGGTGCCAATATTTTTTCAAAGTGAATACACGCATCATAAAAATTGTGCATGTCCCCTCACTCTGTGGCCGACCCGTGACCCCGTTACCATTTCTGTGTGAACATGTAGTCTGAAATGTAATGCTGATGTTGTACTCGTTCAGGTTGGCCCGGTGTCATTTCGGCCAGGAAAGCTGTATGGAGCTGCTCTCCGCTCTCAAGAATATCTCAAATTGTCTAAGAGAGCTCGACCTCAGCGGCAATGACCTGCAGGACTCTGGACTCCATAAGCTCCTAGATGGGATGGAAAACACAGAGAGAAAACTTGAGGTTCTGAGGAAAGTATTGATGAAATTTAGCATTAACCCCGCTGTGCCAGATGACTGATAAATGACCATTTAGAAATGTGTTTGCGCAGGTTGAGCTGGTGTAACCTCACTGCGAAGAGTTGTGAGCACCTCTCCTTGATCCTCAGCTCAGATTCGCCCCTGAGAGAGCTGGATCTGAGTAACAATGACCTGCAGGATTCAGGAGTGAAGCTGCTCTCTGATGGACTGAAGAGGCCAAACTGTCAGCTGCAGATACTGAGGTAAAACTAGGAGCTTTAGTTTATTTCTTTGACAAATTGATTGTTTCTCACTTGTTTTATCCTCCTGTAGGTTGTCTGGCTGTATGGTGACAGAAGAAGGCTGTGGTTATTTGTCTTCAGCTCTGAGTTCAAACCCCTCACACCTGAGAGAGCTGGATCTGAGCTACAATCACCCAGGACCATCAGGAGTCCAGCTGCTCAAACACAAACTGCAGGATCCAAACTATAAACTGCAGATACTCAAGTATGTCTTGTGGGTCAATTATGTGGCATAATTTTTTCCCCCAAGATCCATTAAAAGTAATTCAAAACTGTATATAATGTGCCGATTTGCTGCTCTCAAAACTTTTCTGATTATTATTAATGTTGAAAACAGTTGTGCTGCTGAATATTTTTGTGGAAACCATGATATATTTTATTTTTCAGGATTCTTTGATAAATAGAAAGCTCAAAAGAAATATTTTGTAACATTATAAATGTCTTTGCTGTCACTTTTGACTAATTTAATGCATACTTTCTGAATAAAAGTAATATTTTTTTTTATATATATATATATTAAATTTTTTTATTTTTTTATTTTATTTTGTGTTTGACTGTTAAAACTAAAATGTGTTGTTGTTCAACTCAATAAATTGGGTAATTTAAAAATACAGAGGATGAATTAAATTTTTTTTTCTACTGCTCTGTATAATAATATGATTGAACTGTCTTCGGCTCTGCTCTGTTTTCATGTGGTATTTGCGTCTGTTTCTGATGTCGACTGTTTTGAAGCTCAGTGGGATAGACATGAGCGGAAATGTGTTTATCTCCACAACAGACATCAGAAACGATACATGAGGAACGACTGCAAACTGAGGTAAATGTCCAGCACAACACTGACTAAACCTCTAGAAACAGTTTAAGTA